CTCCTTGAGCACGACATTGGGCAGCGCGACCTTGAGGTGCTGCAGCACGTAGTAGAGGGAGCTCTTGTTGCTCTCCTGCGGATGCACGCACGCACACACACACACCTACACACACACACGCACCTTGATGACGACATTGGGCAGCGCGACCTTGAGGTGCTGCAGCACGTAGTAGAGGGAGCTCTTGTTGCTCTCCTGCGGACGCACGCACGCACGCACGCACCACACAACAACACACACGCAACCTTGATGACGGACACTTGGGCAGCGCACCTTGAGGTGCTGCAGCACGTAGATAGAGGGAGCTCTTGTTGCTCTGCCTGCGCGATGCCGCACGCCACGCACGCACACACACACACGCACACACACACATGCACCTGATGACGAAATTTGGCAGCGCGCCTGAGGTGCTGCAGCACGTAGTAGAGGAGCTCTGTGCTCTCCTAGCGGATCGCACCGCACGCCACGCACGCACCCCCCCCACACACACGCACACACGCACCTTGATGACGACATTGGGCAGCGCGACCTTGAGGTGCTGCAGCACGTAGTAGAGGGAGCTCTTGTTGCTCTCCTGCGGATGCACGCACGCACGCACACACCCCCCCCCCCACACACACGCACACACAGTACCTGCATGACCGACATTGGGCAGCGCGACGTGAGTGCACTGCAGCAGCGGAGTAGAGGGGCTTCTTGTTGCTCGGCTGCGGATGCACGCACGCGCACGACACGGCAACACACCACACGCTACCACAACGTACCTGTGATGACGACTTGGGCCATGCGACATTGAGGTGCTGCCAGCACGTAGTAGAGTGAGCTCTTGTTGCTCTCACTGCGGAATGCACGCACGCACGCACCGCACCCCCCCCCCCACACACGCACACACGTACCTTTGACATGACGACATTGGGCTAAGCGCGACCTGAGGGTGCTGCAGCACGTAGATAGAGGGCAAGCTCTTGCTGGCCTCTCCTGCGGATGCACGGCACGCACGACACGCCACACCCCCCCCCACACACACGCACACACGCTACCTTGAGGACGACACTTGGGCAGCGCGCGACCTTGCCAGGATGTAGCAGCACGTAGTAGGGCGAGCTCTGTTGCTCTCCTGCGGATGCACGCACGCCACGCACGCACCCCCCCCCCCACACACGGCACACACGTACCTTGCATGACGACTTGGCGCAGCGCGACTTGAGCGTGCTGCCAGCACATAGTAGAGGGAAGCTCTTGGTTGCTCGTTCCTTGCGGATGCACGCCACGCACGCAACGCACAACCCCCCCCCCCACCACACGCACAACACGTACTTGATGACGACATTGGGCAGCGCGACTTGATGGTGCTGCAGACGTAAGTAGAGGGGCTCTTGTTGCTCTCCTGCGGATGCACGCAGATGATGTCCTCGCCGTGCGTCTGCACATGGTTCGGCTTCACCTTCAGCTTCGACGTGTAGATCGCCGTAGCAGATCGTGAACCATGTCTATGTTTCACCCTCAGCTACACGCATGTGAATTGAGAGAGATGAGATGAATGAGAGAGAAGAGAGAGGAGAGACGAGGACAGAGAGAAGAGAGAGGAGGAGAGGAGAGAGAGGATGAGGGACAAAGGTTAAGCACCCCGGACATATATAATACTGCTACTTAACGTGTGTAGATCGCGGGATAGCCAGATGTGTCTATTGTTCACCTCAAGCTCACGCGGTTGAGAGAGGAGCAGGAGTCATGAGAGTAGAGACGAGAGAGGAGAGATGAGGAGACGAGAAGGAGAGAGAGGAGAGCAGCAGGAGAGAGAGGAGGACAAGTTAAGCACACGGACATATATAATACTGTACTTAGACGTGTAGATCGCGTAGCAGATCGTGTCAATGTTCACCTCAAGCTACACGCGGTGAGAGAGCAGAGAGAGGACGAGAGGAGAGAGAAGGAGGGTACAAGCTTACATATCGGCCCACGGATACCAGTTACGATATGTACTTGTATCAATATTGTACATCGTATGTATTGTGGATGCATAGCAGATCGTGTCAATGTTCACCTCAAGCTGCACGTGCGCGAGAGAGGAGAGAGAGAGAGAGCAGAGGAGAGAGGAGAGAGAGGAGAGGAGAGAGCCAGGAGATGAGGAGCGAAAGAGAGGAGAGAGAGGAGAGCAGGAGGAAAGAGGTGAGAGAGAGGATGAGCAGGATGAGAGCAGGAGAGAGGAAGGAAAGAGAGAGAAGAGCAGCAGGACCGAGCAGAGGAGCAGGGTAGGAGAGAGAGAGAGGAGCAGAGGAGGAAGAGAGGAGAGGAGGAGAGAGGAGGAAAGAAGGAGAGAGAGGTCAGAGGAGGCAGAGAGAGGAGAGAGGAGAAGAGAGGAGAAGAGCAGGAGAGAGGAGAAGAGCAGGAAGAGAGAGGTGAGAGAGATGGAGAGAGAGCGAGAGAGGAGGAAAGAGAGGAGCAGAGAGGAGAGAAGAAGGAGAGGAAGAGAGGAGAGAGAGGGGAGCAGGAGAGAGGGAGAGAGCAGGCAGAGCAGTGAGTTACAGTACAATAGATTACAAGACATGATGAGGCGTAAGAGGATGGGTTACGTTCGTTCTGCATATATTATATACTGCACTGCTAATACGAATACACTCGCTTATAAAGTTGCAGTACCTCCAGAAGATGGATTCCTTCAAGGTCAAGTTTTATCGTCACAGGGGCGCAGGTGGGGTTGCATTCGTACTGCATATATAATACTGTACTGCAAGTATAACAACACTTGTTCGAAATAAATATATCTTAAGTTGCAATACCTTCAGAAGTCGGATACGTTCAAGGTCAAGCTTTATCATCAGGAAGCAATCGTCCGGCATGAATACCTCTTCGATGTACTCGGATACCTGATTGTACGAGAGAGCAGCGAATTACGTACAGAATGGCTAATACTAGACAACGATAATATCGAAATATAGAATAAAAAGTTAAAAAGAAATAAAATACAATAATACTAAATAAATATAAATATACGCAATCCGAACAATAAAAATTATTATATAATATTAAAATTATTATCAATCATTAAAAAAAAAAAAAAACGATAACATAATTTAGACGATGACGACAACGATGGCATACTCTCCAACATCAAAAAATGTAAAAAATAATAATAACATCAAATTAGAGGCTGACTGTGGTAAAGAGCAACATGGCCGCCCGCACGCGATCACGCGTACCTCTCCCAGCATTGTCTTCTCGATGCGACCTTTGACGAGCCTCGCGACCTCTGGGTCAGCCTCGTCCACGAGGGTCGCCGTGATGATGGGAGTACTGATCGACTTCGATGCGTTGATGATCTCCTTGATTCGCGGCACACCGAGCGTGATATGTGCAGCCGCCGCCACCGCCGGGGGGAAGGGTCAAGGAGCAACATTGCCGATAAATATATTTATAGTAGTAGTATACTATGTAGCAGTGGTAGTGGTAAGTGGTAGCAGTCAGGTAGCTGGTATGGTAGTAGTAGTAGCAGTGGTGAGTGCTAGTGGCAGTGGCTAGTGGGCATTGTCTAGGAACCAAAGAAGTTGCAACAGCTAGCAACGTAGTAGCAGCAGTAGCTGCGTAGTAGTATGTTAGCAGCATCAGCAGTAGGCGGTCAGTAAGTCTAGTAGCAGTGCAGCAGACATAATCAGGCAGCAGCAACAGTAAGCAACAGTTAGGAAGCAGTGTAGTAGCCAGCGCAGCCCAGCAGCAGGTAGCAGCAGCGAGCAGCAGCGAAGCTATTGCTGCAGCAGTAGCAGCAGCTAGCAAGCTGAGTTAGTTAGCAGTATAGTATTGCTCAGTAGCAGTAAGAGCATTTCGATTTCTAACACTCTAGGAATGCTCAAATTTCTATAATCTTCAATACACGCTCATGATTCACTGATACGAATATGTCCGCCTTATTTACAAACTATAACCAGTTGGGACTAACCACTGCTGTAGTCATTACTGTGTAAAGCCAGATCTGTAGTGTCCTCGTGGTTACGAAAACGGATAGGGCACCGCCCTATGTTGCTACATAGACTCAGGCTCAGGGAATTTAACTTACACTTTCACATACAAAACTATGTACTACTATGATTAATTTCTATTAGCTCCATCTTATTTTCCAGCTAGACGAGGTACGACTTAGATGCTAATGTCGGTGGCAGCATAAGGTATATTTCACTGAATGCCACTCTCAGGCGAAATGGAAGGTCTGTCATTTAGTCATCTGAGTCCCGTGCTCGTCTTCTTATGGCTCTGTGTCGGCTTTGTTTTTGGCTAGCCTGACCAGTCGCCGTGCCTGGCAAACACGAACGCGCAGGTTAATCGGTTAGAGACAACATACAATACAACCTCATAACGACAGAAACGCACAACAATAATACATGATGACAGGAACAGCGGACAACAACGACTGTACTCGACGGACAATCTACAACAATCATTATATATGATAACATCTGATATTAACAAGAACACGAACAGCAATATCAACAAACAAAATCTATACCAACACGGGTCCAACCACTACAATGACCGCTAGACTTCAGGCAACAAAACCGTTCCTTAAAGAAACTCGACGGTAACGCATTTGCGATTTTGATCTCTCTCTCTCTCTAGCAATCCCAACTTTCAAACTCGTTGTTGATCTTATGCACTGCCACACGGCTTTACTTGACGAAGTTAAATCTTCTGTAGAATGGCTTGGAGAATCTTGCTGGGCTGACCGGTTTTATCTTTTTTATTATTGTTTTTTTTTTTTAGCGCCAGATCGAAGAGAAGAGTTCCGTGTTGGTCTGGATCTCACGTACTGGCTCCATGCTGTCTTGTACTTGCTCTTTTTTGCACGTAGGTCAACAAACTCTCGCAGTCTGCCGTGGATTGCACATCGTCCACCTTCTGACCTGTGGCAGGAGCTCAGTGTGCCTTTGTGAGTAATTGATGCCAGGTTGACCACTGTCGGGGTGAAGTGATGCATGTTGCCTACTCTTAATCTTTTGCGCCAGCTTCTCTCTCTCTCTCTTCGTCTTCTCTCCTCTCTCTCTCTCTTCTCTCTCTCTCTCGCTCTCTGCTCCTCTGTCTCTCCTCCCTCTCTCTCTTCTCTTCTGTTCTCTCTCTCTCTCTCTCTCGGCCTTCCCGTCTCTGCTCTTACCCCTTCTCTCTCCATCACACCTTTCCTCCTCCTTCTCTCTCCTCTCTTCCCCTTTCTTCTCTCTCTCTCTCTCCCTCTTCCTTTCTCTTTCTTCTCCTCCCCTCTTCCTCCGTTCCTTGCCTCCTCGTTCTACCGGTTTCCTCTTCCGTCCCTACGCCTCCTCTCTCTCTTCCCTTCTCCCTCTTCCCTCATTCCTCTTCTTACTATGCTTACTCCCGCTTTTTCTCGCTTTTCTTTTTTTTTTTTTTTTTTTTATTTTTTTTCTTTTTTTTTTTTTTTTGTTTTCCCTCACTTCCCCAGCCCTTCCCTCGCTCCCTCCCACTTACTCCTCCCCCCTCTTCCCTCCCTCTGCCGTACCGTGCTCCCGCGTTTCTCCCTGGCGGCGATCCTCCTCCAACACACCCTCCTTCTCCCCCTCCCTCTCTCCCTCCTCTCTCCCCCTCTCCCTCCCCGTACCGTGCTCTCCTCGTTTCTCCGCGGTGGCGATCCTCCCTCCCACGTCCTCGGCGAACTCTCTCATCTCTGCGAGGAAGTCGGGCTGGCAGCGTGCGTGCTCCTCTATCAGCTCCTCGTAGAGAGAGAGGAAGCCGGCGGCCCGCATCGCGACCTCCTCCTTGCACGGCAACTGCGCCTGCACGAGACGACGACGACGACGTGATGATGTGAGAATGACGGAGCGAAGCGCAAATGGCGAGAGTTGCGGACCGTGACCGAGCAACAGGGCGTGCGAGAGAAAGCGAAGCGATTGATGCTCGTTACCTCACCGCCAATAGATCGATCGATCAACTTATTGATTGGGTCGATCGACTGGCCCGATCGATCAGTCGATCGACTGGCTCGATCGATCGGTCAATCGACTGGCTCGATCGATCGGTCAATCGATTGGGTCGATCGATCAGTCAATCGAAAGGTTCATCAATGAATCGTTTCTTTGTTGTGAAGTTATGTGATTGATCTGTCTGACTGCAGAGAGAGACCTCCTCCTTGCACGGCAACCGCGCCTGCATGTGACAACGACAGCGAGGGCAAACAGTGAGAGCGACGGAGCGAAGCGCAAACAGTGAGAACACAAGTCAGACCGGACGAGCGATGGGGCGCGCGTGCAGAGGTGATCGATACTCGATACGTCGCCGCCGACGAATCGAATGATGGATCGATCAGTCGATCGATCAGTCGATCGATCAGTCGATCGATCAGTCGATCGATCAGTCGATCGATCAGTCGATCGATCGGTTCGTCAACGAATCGTTTCTTCTTCGTTGTAATCGTTAAATCGTTGTAAAATTATGTGATTGAACTATCTGCCTGGAGAAATTGACCCACCCTGACCCTCGTGACCCTGCCCCGAACCCCCCACGACCCCCCGACGAACCCCCACACGACCCCCCGACCGCGCCGCGACTCACCTTGACGTTGCCGAACACGCGGTGGAAGTCGACGGGTCGCTCGTGGCCCTCCATCTCGGCCGGATCGAGACCGTCGCCGCCGTAAACGAACTGGACGATCTCTCCCATCGACGTGCGTACGGTCGTGTCGTAGTTCGAGCACAGGTCCTCGAGCGACTTCACCAGGCGGCGCTGCATGTACCCCGTCTCGGCCGTCTTCACTGCCGTGTCGACGAGACCTGCCAGGGGGGGGGGGCGAGACGATGTCAATTGCTGATGACGATTGAGGCGTGGCAGAAATGCAATCGCGATTGTTGCTGGGGCTGCGATGGTCGCGCAAACACCGCAACGATTATTGTCAGGATTTTGGCCTGGATGTCACTCTTATAGACCTTTTAGAATAATTTACCAAGATAGCAGTGGCTTAGATATAATAATAACAATAATAACTTACAATACATAAAATGATAATGATGATGATAATAATAAAAATAAAAATTATAAAAAAACATAAACCATTATATAAACTCATTATTTCTCATTTTCGTAATCATTTCTCAGTTATTCACCGGCTGATTTACATCTGAAGCGACTCAAATCTCTTATCGCTACTTCTCGCAATGTTACAATAATCACTCGATGCCCCAGACACTCTTGCACCCACCCTCTCGTCCTCCCATCGTGTGAAAGAAGAATTCTGTCGGTGTCAGTCCCGAATAGAAGCTGTTTTGTACGAAACCCTTTGCTGCAGGAACCTTAGCTGGAAAAAACAATAATAATAATAAAAACAACATCAACAACAACTGAGAATCTTAGCTGGAAAATAATAACAACAATGAAAACAACAACTAGGAACCTTAATTAGCTGGAACAAATAATAATGACAATGAAAACAACAGACGAACATTAAACAACTCTAGTATGGATGGGTGTGAAGTGGAGACCTGCACTGTCACTCACTCTACAGAACGCACAAACCCACTACCCTACGTGTGGGTTCGACGCTTTCTCATCACTCGACGCCACTCGAAGCTAGCTACGTTACCGACGGTACTCACAGTGTCACTCGAAGTGAGGGAGGGCGCGGTAGTATTGCCATATTTACGTTTTATTCTCAAAGTCATGTAATAAACCAATTATCTAGATCGCTAGACACCACCTAAGCTTGCGACGCTATTGACCAACAGGCGGTGGTGGTGGCGGCGTACTCACAGTGTCGCTCAAAGTAAGAGAGGGCGCGGTCGTTTTGCAATATTTACGTTTTATTCTGAAAGTCATGTAATGAACCGATTATCTAGATCGCTAGACACCACCGAAGCTTGCTACAGTACGTTACCGATGGACGGCGACAGTGGTGGCGGCGCACTTACAGTGGCGTTCGAAGTGAGGAAGGGCGCGGTCGTCGAAGCCGTTCGGGATGCGATGACCGCTGATAGCCTGCTGGCCGACGCACGCGATCATCTGTGAGATGTTGATGAAGGAACCTGCGAGGAAAAACAGTCAACGAAAATTTTAATTACTAAAATATCACTATAATATAACTAAAATATATGGTATTATA